CCACAAATCCTTGGAACTTTCTTCTTCTTCTTTGACTAAAAGAGTATTTATCTTCCAACTTCCAACCCTAACTTAAAAACCCACTTAAACTCTATATATATATATATATATATATATATATTGGTATCACCTTACCTTCTTCTTACAAAACCCTAAACCCCAAATCTCTCAGAAGCACCTCAAACTCTCAGAAGCTCCAACTCCCCAAATGGCTCCCAACAACAAAGGCAAGGGAAAACTATCCGAAAACATCTCTACCTCTGATGAAGACAATACTCCCATGGAATCTACGAAGAAGCGTATAATGGATTTCAAGGTCTGGGTTCGTCATCTCTTCCCGGTAAAGTACGTTAATTTCAACGCATTTCCGGCTTCTACTTTTGATTTCCCAGCTCTGTTAAAATTTCAAAAGATTGATAAGTTTGTATCTGACAACGGAAAATGTTACCCCGATTTGGTCAAATCCTTTATGAATAAGTTGTCTGTTTATTTGAATGTTGATGATGAACATATATTGGAAACTTTTGTTCGGAACTTTGAATTGAAGGAAAATATGTCCGACATTGCTGTGAGATTAGAGATACCATCCAAAGGATTTTTTATCAGGAAAGGAGTCAACCATGTGGAAGGTCCATGGGCTAAGTACGATAAGATGGAATACTATTATTGTATCTGCCGGTTTCCGAAAGAGGCTGTTATTGCGAGTCAAAGGACTGCTCGCATGTTGTGCTATGTAAAGAATCTCACGGCTAATGATAGAATGATGCACTATATTACCTATTACATGTTGATTCCAAAGGACTCCAACTACTCTCAAATCAATGACTTGGAGATGCAGCTGCTATATGCTATCAAGAACAAGAACAAGGTTAATTGGATTCTCACTATGATGTATCATCTACAGCAACAACTCTCTTTGTCAACTAGGCTTCCTTATGCACGGTTAATTTCAAGGATTCTTGAGTTAACAGATTTGGACCTGAACCGCGAACCAGCAACCAAGATGAAACCATCAGCAAGTGAAATCAATGAGATTACTATTGTGAAGAATACCAGAATTATCAAAGCTTCCGACGAAACCTACCAATATGTCGACGACGGATCCTCAGCTTCAAACCAATCCTACCTCATTCCTGAAGGAGGTATAACAAATGAGTTTCTCTACATAACCATGATGAACCAACACCGAGAAACCATGAACCTTCATAGATAAACCTCTAGGGAAATTACCTCTCTTCGCAACCTTGTGCTCAATTATCAGAATTCCAACACCGGAAACAATGAAGAAGAGGATGAAGAAGAGGTTGGTAGTGAAGAAGAAGAAGCTGAAGATGAGGAAATGTCGGCGGATGAAAATTAAAAACACTTGCTATTGCTGTTTATTGCTTTCTAGTTTCTAGTTTAAGTTTAAATTTCAGTTTTAGTTTAAGTTTAATTTTCACTTTCGTTTTCATTCTTGTACTCGTACAATATTTCGTTCGTTTTAATTTTAATCTCAATCAAGTTATGGTTTATGTGTGAATCATGTGTGATGGTTGTTGCATGCTTGTGTGTTGCTATCTTTCTTTGCCCTCTTCCTTTTTGCTAATGACAAAGGGGGAGAATGATTGTGTTTCTAACATTTCCACATGCTGAAGAAGTTCTTTCACTCTTGTATTTAGGGGGAGATCCGACTTAGGGGGAGAAATGTTGTGAATCACGTATCAAAGCAAGACTTTCAAAGAAGTGGTTGTCATCATCAAAAATGGGGATATTATGGAAGCAAGCTTCAAGACCTGTGTGTTTTGATGAAGACAACTCATACAAGATTGGTACACATTCGCAAAAAGAAAGAGATGCAAGCAATCGATAAGAATTCATTATCAAAGATCAAGTTAAAGTCGCACATGATGCTATGGATCAAGCTTCATCTACAAACTTCAAGTGGTGTTGATGATACAAGAATCGGTATAAACATATTTTACTTAGAAATATTTTATACAAGTGTTCTTTCAATCACACTTCACTACACCATTATCACTAAATCTTTTAAAATATTTTTAAATACTTTCTATTTTTTAAATTAAGTATTTTTGCAAAAAACTTTCAGTTTTAACCGATTAACCTATGGGGTTAACCGATTAACACAAGTTAAAATTATGATTACAGTGTTAACCAATTAACCATATGGGTTAACCGATCAACACATGTAAAATTCAAATATATTGCACGTTGGAAAGGTGTTAACCGATTAACCTATTTGGTTAACCGATTAACCCTGAAACAACAACAAAAAATAGTAACTTTTCATGGAGGATTGCATTGTTCTCTATTATTGTTACTGGCTAGTTTTTCTGTCCCATAATCATACCTTTTTGAAAAGGTTTTTGACTTCTATAAATTGATTTCTTTTTCAAAATCAAAATCACCTTCAAGAAACAAATTTCAAAACTTACTCTTTGTCTTCAACCTTTTGAATTTTCATAAAAGTGTTCAAACAATTTTTGAAGAAGCCATTGAAATTAACTTTCACATCTTCACAACTTTCTTTCACAAAAAGGAACACTTGTATATTATTTCTGAGTAATCTTTGTTTCGAGAAGAAGATCAATATTTCATATTGATATACATTCAAATTGTTACTTATATACAAATTCATATTGACTACAACTTATCCTTAGAATTATAAAAGATAAGTTTGTAGGGTTTTCCTTGTGATCCGGATTGTGGATACAAAAGGTCCTTGTGTGAGATATTCATTCTCGGTAGGACTTAAAAATTGTATAAATCCAAGAAGGGTGTTCTTGGTTGTTAGGATTGTCTTGTGTAGAAATCTAACATTGATAGTAAAATACTCTTTCATGTCGAAAGGGGAGTGGAGTACTCTCGGATTGTGAGGGGAACCACTATAAACCGTTGTGTCCTTTACCTTCTGCACTTTACTGTTTTTCATCATCTAGAAGAACTTAAAGAAGCAAATCCAAGAATCATAAAAATCGGAAAAAGTGTCTAAGAACCTAATTCACCCCCCCCCCCCTCTTAGGCATACATATAACTTACAATTGAGATGTCTTATGACCAAGAAAATTATGATATTTACATAAACATATTTTCTTTCTTTGTTCCAATGGTGATGTCTTTAGGCCTTATAGAACTATGATTTGACCATTATTAACCAAAAGATCAAACATTTCATCACATTTATTTACATAAAACGTGTAATTTTTTTCATTAGAAGGTCTCAAGACCTTACAAACATATGGAAGTCATGACCTTAGTTCTACCAAATTAACCTCATTTTCTTTGATAAGTCAAATCACAAGTTTTTGTTCACTTATAGGATTAAACTCGGAAAAATTCTAGGACATATTTGTGAAAAAGATTGATAAAATATGTTTGTTCTTTGAATAATGATGTTTTAATGTTGAAAATTTGGATATTAACTCTAACTTGAGTAAATGTAGAATTGCTTTGAAAATAAATAATAAACAAAAAACATAATAAATATCATCTAAATAAATGCTTCAAATTTAAAAGATTAAGATAAAGGACGCAAATTCACACATCTTCTTACAAACACTTTTCTCTTTGAAACTTGGATACTTAATTTCTATAGATAATACTTAAAGAATTTTGCGACCTTTCTCTACACGAGTTAACTCGTCTTATATACTGTTAAAATGTTAACTGCCAATAACATATATCTTCGTAGAAATCGACACGTACTCCCTTACGTATGCTTCATCCTTCCAGCCTACTTTCATGTGTCTTCGACATTTGAACTATTTTGAACTACTTATGTTGTTTCAAACATTCTTTTAAAATTTTATAACCGCTTATGCTGAAAGTTTCTTCTGTCAAAACTTGGAGCATGGCGTCAAAATGATTTGGCTACTTGTACTTAGCCTGAGGATTTATCCCACTTCTACTTCTATCAAATATGCCAAATCACCATAAACTTTTTTGAGATTCTGAACATGCTTTGAAGAGAGTGATCCTAATCTTGTGGATCTTTTCATGAGACTCTTCCAAACCAGGCTTGGTAGGTTTCTAGGTTATTTAAACCTTGAACTCAAAATAAACTAAGTCCAAGTCCCAAAACATCCTATAAGCATGTCAAACTCACCTCTTCACTCGAAGTTATCAAGATGTCGAAATCATGGTTAGGTTATTTCATACTTAGCAGTCTCATATAAATACTAAACCAAGATTTTCTGGATAACACTCATGCATACATTTTCTCCAAAATTTCTCACACTTGCTTCGAGGTTGTGCAATCACCAACTTTCTCAAGGTTATCCACATCAACACATTGATAGATAAAAAACAATGTCTTGTAATCTTTCGTCTTCTCATCCTTATGCTTAGTTCCCCGTGCATCTGTTGCACCTTCTACAAGTGTTGTTGACCCATTCTTTATCACTTCTAGAATATCTTGATAACCAAACATCACATTCATTTTTTTGCACCACTTGTCGTAATTCTTTGCATCGAGAATTGAGATATTTATAGGGATTCGCTCATTGAAAATATAAGTCATGTTTGCACACTAGGTGTATGATGGGTCGAACCTAACTTTTGATGACAAATGTTAGAACTTAGAACTATAAGGTTGGTGAAAATAATTGAGTGTGGAGAGGGAGAAAGTAAGAGAGAAAATGAGAGAGAATGATTGAGAGTGAAAATTATATAAACATTAATTCATTCGTAAGATATCAAAAGAATATACAACAATCACACAAGATGGGGTACAATTCTCAAATAAATAAATTTAAAAAACTCACCGGTGTAATCAATTGATATATTATGTCAGCCGGTTACACTTAACCACTAATTCTGTATTTAACTAAAAAATTTCAGAAATAACCGATTAACTTATTATGTTTGACTAATATAAAGATGTAAGGAGACTATCAATTAGACTATTATGTCAGCGAGATTACACTATGTGTGTGTGCATATTATAAACTATATAGTGATTTATTTATATAGAAAATAAAAAGAAAAACGGTTAACTAATTCTAATGAACGAGTGTGACATTGTAGCCAACAATAGCATCACCGGTGGTCAAATCAAACAAATGAGTCTTAGCAATGGCGTAACCCCTTGCCATACGGAAAAGCCCAGTGCCACCAACAACCGGCATCTCACGAACGGGGTTCATGGCTGAGTTCTTCCCAACCAGAGCAAACGTGCTGCCATTATACGGCCCATCAACAAACGAGTAGCTCAGAGACATAAGAAGCCCGAACTCATGCTGACCCGACGACGCGTAAATACCTTGGGCCCGGCCCACGAGCTTCGACTTCGGGTCTGATGTTTCTGTTAACGGGTCATCTGCCATCCAGATGCTTCCGAAACGTGTATCGGATTGTTTGCTCTTGTCTATTGGTTCTGCTACCTGAACAACGCTTGGGTTTTTTCCGCTGACTGTGTCGTGGAAATAAAACTGAAGGTTTGTTTCTGTTTCTTGATTTTTTCTTGGAAAACTTTTACCCCAATTCCCTGCTTTTAGTTTCAAGCTTTGAATCGGTGGTGGAAGAATAACACCAAGTATAAGCATCATCACCACCACCACATTTTGCTTAAACATCTCGGAAGTATCTTTTCAGGGTTGGGTTGGGTTGTGTTATGGATTTGGTTTCTTCTTTTATATGTGCGGTGTATATAAATAGAATATATATATTTTTTTTTTTCCTTGTGGTGTTAGTCATTTGTGTGGTTTAAATTTTACAACAACATTACACCGATAAATACAATTTCAAGATTAGATGCTTCTAATTGCACAGCCACGAGCTGTTGTTGTAGGTGAAATAGAGGACCACTAGTATAATTATAGAGTGACAAAAGATTTTAAATTACAGTTGTGGTCGCTTAAAAACTTTTGCTATTTCAGTCTGTAAAAGGATTGTAATATTGATTACTGTCTTGTTAACTAACCACAATTATTTTTCATCATTTTTAAAACCTTGTTGTGACATAAGTGAAAAATCTAATGTTGATTATAAGCTCTTATAAAAATCTGCTTTAAGGTGTCATATGGAATGCAAGTAATACCATGACTGTTAATTTATGATTGGAAATAATCAATTTTCAACGTCAGATAGTTAAATTGATTGAAAAAATTAAGGTAAAAGATATACTTCAACGATGCTGTACTGTAAGGCATCATCCTTAAATTTCTTCATGTGAATGAGAAGTGAGGGGTGGCTTTCCTGCCATGGTTGCTTGCTCAAAATCATAAGCAATTTCAATCAATTTTGGCTCAGTTCCCCTTAATCCACCAGAACAGCTCCCAAATGGCATTCCTTGGCTATCATACCCAGCTGGGACAGTAACTGCAGGATACCCTCCAATTGCAAACATTGGAGAAGCATTGGAGCCTATGGCCAACCATGCATCCAATTGATTTTCTTTTATCACTCTTTCAAACACATTTTTTTACCATTGATCTATCTTCTTCAATGCTTCAATTATTTCACTTGTTCCTAAGCCACTAGTCATTTCTGATGCAATAAATAAATCTTGCCCATACTCAGTAGTTTTTTTCTGTTACAAGAAAACCATAAACAATTCACTACTAAGCTACCGAGTTATACGAAACAATATTCCTATAAAAAAACACCCACACAAACAATGAGATGGAGCATAACATTAATATTTCGATTCAAATAACAATTTATAAAGGTAAATTGTCGGCATTTGACACTAACAAGTGAAGTGTAAGTGTTAGTTAAAAAAACTATTGTGATCAAATTTCTGTTCTTATCTTTTTCCAAAAAAATTCCAAATTAAAATATTATTATTAAATAAACTTGTGATTAATTATGTCAAATAAGTATCTTATGTATAATGCAAAATAGAGATAATTCAAATATTTGCATCAAACTCTAGTCTCGGCAATGTTAGTTTTATGGTTTGACAATAGTCGAAGATGTGTATGTCGTAGTCGAAGTTCGTTCTTGCATTCAGAAATATGTTAGATTGTTGTTTAAGTTAGCATGTTGAATTTGATCAGTTTGTTAGGCCAATTGTTTAGTATGTTAATTGAAATCTAGGGTTTATTTTTCTTATAAATAACATACTAGTTATTACTTCACCATCAATCCCTGATAATCCTAATTAGAGGGAGAAAGTGGTGCGGTTGAGATTCAATTGTAAGCATTGTTCCTTAATGTGTAATTAACTCAAGAATTCAGTTTTTAACCACTTTGAATTATCTTTCTCTTCTTTTCTCTCTTTGCTCTTTACCTTGTGGTTTTCTTGTTGATCAAGAAATTGATCATACTCTGTTTTCTTAGTCATCGTTTCACAACAAATTGGTGCGGTGAGCGTGGAGGAGAAGATGTCGTCAACAAAGTATGAGATTGAGAAATTCACCGATATGAATGAGTTTGGTTTGTGGCGGTTGAAAATGCTAACCCTACTAGTTTAGTAGGGTTTATTAGAAGCGTTGAAAGGATCATAGAAGATGCATATTTTCCTAGCAGAGAAGAAGAAGATGAAGATGATCGAGAAAGCTCACTGTGCCATCATATTGAGTCTTGGTGATAAGGTTCTCCGGAAGGTCTCGAAGAAGAAGACATCAATGGGTGTGTGGAGCAAACTCGAGGGTTTGTATATGAGCAAATCCTTGGTCAATCGTCTCTACCTGAAGCAAGTTTTGTATTCATTCAAGATGAGTGAAGACAAAGTCTTGGCGGAGCAACTTGATATGTTCAACAAGTTGATTCTTGATCTTGAAAATATTGAGGTCAAGATTGATGATGAAGATCAAGCGTTGTTGCTGTTGTGTGCTTTACCAAGATCTCATACTCATTTCAAAGAAACTTTCTTGTATTGAAGAGATTTGTTAACCTTTGAAGAAGTTTAATCAACCTTGTATTATAAGAATTCGAACAAAAGAAAGGAGCACAAACCATCTTCTGTTAGTGATGGTTTTTCTGTTAAGGGGAAATTATTGAAGAAAGATGGTAGGTTTGAGAAGAAGAAGGGTAAAGTTCTAAAGAATTTTTATGGTGGTAATGTTCCTACAATTAGGTGTTACCATTGTAAGAATGATGGACATACAAGAAATGTGTGCCCTTATCAATTGAATAACCATGGTGGAAAGGATAATGGTAATGCAGTCATTGTGCAAGATGATTATGAATCATTTGATGTCCTGGTGGTTTCAAGAAGCGATTCTAGCAAGGAGTGAATTATGGATTCAGGGTATACTTGGCACATGGCTCCAAACAAAGAAGTGTTTGAGGAATTATATGATCAAGATAGTGGATTAGTGCTGCTAGAAAACAACAAAGCCTACAAGATTGCAGGAATTGGATCTGTGAGATTCAAACTCCATAATGAGTCAATAAGACTATTGACTGATGTTAGGTATGCACCTGAACTTTATAGGAATTTGATTTCTCTTGTTGAATTCGATAAGAAAGAATATTTTTCAAAGGAGAGCAAAGTATTTTAAGGGTAATGAAGGGGTCAAAGGAAGTTTTAAGAGACATCAAGAGGCAATTCATGTATACCCTTAGGACTGAGGTTGTAAGTGGTTTAGTAGATGTGGCATCCACAAAACATGTGTCGAAGAATGAGCTATGGCACAAGAGTCTTGGCCATGTCAGTGAAACAGACTTGGTCGAATTGCCGAAACAAAGTCTGCTATGTGGTGACAAGGTTGAAAAATTGGATTTTTGTGAACCTTGTATATTTGTTAAATCCTATAAGGGGAAGTTTAACAAAGATATGGGTGGAAATAGGCCAGGTCGGCTAACAGGGGCCTACAGACTAGCCTACATAAGCTCAAGCCAGACTAGACTTTTTTAAAATAGAAAAGGCCTAGGCTTTTTTATAAGCCTATTTAGGTAAAAAGGCTAGGCCTCAGGCCATAAAAAAATCTTTTAAGCCTATCAGGCCGACCTATTTATATAAATATGAATAATTTTTTATTATCATTATGTTATGTTTTGTAATTTGAATTAAAATACATAAATAAAACTTGGTTATCTTGGAGAACTTATGAAAATAAGATCAAAACGTCTTATGAACAATGTCATAAGTTATTTTCATAAGTTCTCTTAAATAAATAGTCTCACGAAACTTGTGCTAATAAGTAACTTAAAATAAGTCGATGCAAACAAACATTTAGTCTCATTGGTCTTTTAGTTTGTTAGTCTATTTAAATATTACTACCTCGGTGCATTTATATAAGAGACAATTCATTTTTTAGATTCATTGAATAATCAATGTATTTGGTCATTTTATAGTCTTGATACATTGATTATTCAATGAATCTAAAAAGTGAGTTGTCTCTTATATAAATGAACAGAGGTAGTGTTTGATTTGCTTATTTACATGCGCATAAAATAAATAGGTGTTTAAGGCTAACCAGGCATTTGAAAAGGTCATACCTAGGCTTAAAAATAAGCTTATGATAGGCTACAGGCCATGCTTAGTGTTGCACCCTAAAATTTGCCCAACCTTATTCCTTGGTTTATGTTTCATCATCATTAGCATTTGCATGTAGAGTCATGTACATAGACTAACCATCTGCATAGCATAAGCATAGCAAGTCATTCAACAGGGGACCAATCATTATTTTCATCTCTAGAGGCCTAGCAAGAGGTTATTATTCCAATTCAATCTCATTCAAGTCATCAGGAAAGAATTTGAAAGCAAGGAGTTCAGCAGATCAAGCCTTGAGTCCATCTCCTAGCTGAGGGTATCTGAGGATCAACAAGAGGGTTGTGAGCTGTGGAGTGAAGGTATGGAGAGCATCTAGACCTTATGAGAGACTTACAAAGTCATTTGGAGAAGAAAGCAAGTCATTGATGAAAGCACAAGAGCTATAGTGGAAGACAGTCAACTAGGGTTTCATCTGGGTCAACCCTAGGTCAACCCTAGGTCAGTTGACTGACTTAAGAGGGCATTCAAGTCTATTGGAGAGATGTGGGGATCAACATTTGACATATGAAGAAGGATATGGAGATATGACAAGGAGAATTCAAGAGAAATCAAGGAGAAGAGGAGTTACTAAATTAGGGTTTCTCTGTAAAATCCCCTAGTTTAGGTCAAATTTCCAAGCAAGATAAGTCAAAATGCTAGCTTCAAATGGCTTCTTGGCCAACATGAAACTTGTAGAGGATCTCAAGACCTTTAATTTGAGTGGTGGAAGACCTCAAGGAGATTTATAGAACTCAAGTTATGGTCCTTACAAGTTACAGGTCATCTGGGGTGTCTGAATTTTTGTCTGTGAAAGTGACTTGACTTCCAAGCTAGTTTTGCCCCTCAAGGAGATTTCAAATGAATTCTTGGTCAACATAAGAGTTGTTCCTCATTGTCTTAGCTTTCTAGAATGGTATGGTATGCCTTCATATGATGTGGAGAACTCAACTTATGGTCTTGGCAAGCAAAGGGTATTTTGGGCATTTGTGAATTACAGGTCATTTTAACCTATACCCAAAACTCATACAAGGAGGCCTCAAATGGAAAAACTTACAACATCAAACTTGCTCCAAATGGGATTTTAAGTCTAGAAAGAAGGTCACAAGTTATTGGAGAAGCTCATAGCATGATGTTGCATAATTGGTCAAAATA